AGAGAGAGATGTTTGGTTGGTTTCGACCTCTTCACCTCCCCGAAGGCTGAGTATTGAAAAACGTTTGGGCAATCGCTTCGCAGTAGGTCCGGAAGTTCCAGGACAAGATGGGCACCTGTGCAGGCCAGTGGAACGTTGACGGAGAGCGACGGCTGTGTGACTCTGAAACCAAAGTGATAGTGTTGCTGCAAGGATTATCAAAGAGGAAAAGGCTTTCATTCGAACTCTCTCCGTTGATGAACTCGTCGGTTGCCAACTTTGAAAGTAGGGTTTGTGAGGTAGATCCTTTCAATGCGAATGGAATCGTCGAGAAAGCAATGTCCTTGTGAGCTGGCGAAAGCAGAAAAGACAAGAATGTGCTCTGTTAATTTTAAGGTAGAGCCAATAACTGCACCAAAGTAATAGCTGACCTGAGGAAGGGGGCGATCTTATACAGTAAAGTTTTACCAATACTCCCACAAGATAAAAAAGATGCGCCGATGGATGTGATGGGATGTCTTTCGCGATCTTGGACGGCTGTTGGATGTTGATGGCCGCGAAGCTCCTCCCAACAAACGTCAGTTCACAAAATGATTAATAACACCAGGTTGAAATGAGGTTTGGTCCCCAATCTCGGCTGAGTTTTTGCGGAGTCTTCCCAGGGTAATCATACTAGTATGGGTCCTGCCTGGACTCCACCCTTTGGAGGCATTGAGCAAAAGATAAATGAAATCATCTCTGCATATTATTCTGCTCCTGTCTGAGATGTACAGAAGGCCATTTGATTTGTCAGCTTGCTGAGGTGTTTACCATAGACAATCTCCTCACAAAGATGACCCCACAGACAGCCTCAAAGGACACCAGAAGATTCGATTCTTTGTTTCAGAACTTGCCATAATGGCGAAGCATTGCAACTTGGCAGCCATTCTAGCTAGCTAGAGAGCTACCAATATGCCGAGTCACCCCAACATAAAAAATTTACCACCCGTTTTACGGTAGGGGTAGAGGAGAGATGCATGTATGGGAAAACTATCCCGCTTTCACATGCATGGTGCGCATACTACAGGATGACTTCTTTTACCGCTGACAGGTGTCAAAATGGATTCTCGTTTTGGCCAAACTGAAATCGAAAGCGGTCATTTCTATCAGAAGTGGTCATTTTGCGAATCCTGCATTGAAAAGAATGGATCCAAACAAAGCCAGAAGTGGTCATTTCGCGAATCCTGTTTTGAACTCACGGGTTCACAAAAAGAAAAGATTGAAGAAAATAAAATTGAATTTTATCACCATGGCAACAGTGTTGACCAAATGGCTATTAGCTTTACCAATACATTGAGATAGCTAATGCTTTCAGAGAACTAGCTCCACAACACACTCAGAGACACTCCCCTTCAAAAGCATTAGCTATCTCCAAGGTTTGTCATGGAGCCTCTGAGAGAAACCAGGCTTGGAATTCATTTTGTTGTCATTTTGCCATGGATTTCTCCATGGGAAAGGTGCTCCTGTCCTCACTTGCAGCACCCAATCTACACTGTAGAGCCTGTTAGAGGAGTGGATGACTTTGCATGAAGACTGGAGGACCCATCCCAAAGTTTCAAAGAGGATTGTTGGCTTGATGGCCCCAAAAAATGCAGATTCAGTCTTTTGTTTTCAATCGACCACTCAGCACAGTAGTAGAGAAGCTGCCACTTGTTGCAGTAGTAGTAGCATTGTCAAAGGCTCTGTTAACTAAGAAGAAGTAGTCGCAGAAGCAGTCACCTCCTCCGTCGACCGAAAGAAGCCATTTCACCGCTCCGCAGCATCAATCAAATCCAAGGCGTCCGTAGCAAGCCGCCGCAAGTCGTACTAGTAGTAGCCCTCTGTTGCAAGTCGTACTAGTAGTAGCCGCCTGTTGCAGCCGTCGCTCTGTGGAAGAGGAGGCGTCATGGTCGCATCGATAGATTGCTCACCGGAAGTAGATCGATCGGTCGAACGAAAGCTCCTAACATCGACCGATCCCTCGAACGATCGAACGGCTGCCGCTACCAATCAAACAAGAGGAGCCCGTCATGGTGGTGAGTAGTAGCCTTTGTTAAGAGAGTAGCCGCTGTAAAGAAGAGAGGAAGCATCATCGATAGAGCAAAGATAGAGGTATCGATGATCGAAATAATGAAAGAAGTGTACGAGTGGCTTGGATCGATCCGAGTGATGTCAGTTGAGATTGATTAAGGTTAAGGCTAATATATCCCTTAAGGCTTTTACGGAACGTTCCGAAGTTCGGTTCGCATTCGAATGTCTACCGGAGCGGCTTGCGTTTGTCTCGATAGTTTAGATTCAGCCTGTAGAGTACCGGTTCCAGTAGCAAGGGCAACACCAATGCCTACGTTGTCCCGCCGGTATGGTACAGGCTGAATCTAAACTATCGAGACAAACGCAAGCCCGCTCCCGGTAAGACATGCGAATGCGAACCGGAACCTCTTGGAACGTTCCTCGAAAAGACTTAGGGGACATATATAGCCTTAACCTTAATCTCAACTGACATCACTCAGATCCATCCTAGCCACTCGTACATACATCTTTCATTATTTCGTTCGATACCTCTATCTTTGCTCTATCGAGATGATGCTTCCTCCTCTTCTTTACAGCGGCTACTCCTCTTAACAAAGGCTACTACTCACCACCATGACAGGCTCCTCTTGTTTGGTTGGTAGCAGTAGCGGCCGATCGTCGTATCGACAGGAGCTTCCGTTCGATCGATCGGTGACTGATGACTTCTTCTTCCACGGAGCGACACGGAGCGACCATGACACCTCCTCTTCGAACGGAGCGAACGAACGGAGCGCTACTACCACAACAACAAGCGGCTACGGCTAACGACGCCTCGACAATGGCACGAAACGACGGATCGATCGGCCACTTCTACGGAGCCTCTTTCACGGAGCAATCAATCAAAGCGACCATGATGCCTGGAGCAAGCGAACGAACGGCGCGACGCAGAAGCCTCTGCTAGTGGCACTACAAAAGCAACAAGCGGCAGCTCCTCTACTACTGCTGTTGACTGGTTACAAACATGAAATCTGCTCAAAAATCTGTTCAATTTTGTGGCCATCATCCCAACAATTCCCTTTGATGACTTGTGATGGGTGCTCCAGTCGTCATCCAAAGCCACCCACATCTCTACCAGACTCTATAGTGCAGATTGAGTGCTGAGAGTGAGGACTGGAGCACCTTTTCCATAGAGAAATCCATGGCAGAGTGACAACAAAATGGAATCCAAGTCTGATTTTTCTGAGATGCTCCATAGGAAACTTTGGAGATAGCAAATCCTTTTTGAGGGGTGGCTCTGTGAGTGTGTTGGGGAGCTAGCTCTAGAAAAGGATTTGCTATCTCCATGTATTGGTAAAGCTAATGGCCATTTGGTCAACTCTGTTGCCATGGTGATAAAATTCATTTTTATTTCTTCAATCTTGCATTTGTGAGGAACATTCATTTCAATAGAGGATTCGTGAAATGACCACTTCTGGGTCTTCATTTATGAAAACCGAAAAATAACCGTCCAAAACGCTCACATTTTGACACCTGTCAGCGGTGTATAAAGTCATCCTGTAGTACAGGCTGAATCAAAACTATCATGACAAACGCAAGCCCGCTCCTGGTATGACATTCCAATGCGAACTGGAACCTTCCGTGAAAAGATTTAGAGGACCAATAACCCCATCCCTAAACTCAACTGACATCACTCAGAATGTCGATTGCACGATCCATCCATCCAAGCCACTCGTTATTTCGATACCTCTATCTTTACTCTCTATTGAGTCTATCAAGATGGTACTATCTCCTCTTTACAGCGGCTACTCCTCTTGTAAACATCTCCACCATGACAGGCTCCTCTTGTTTGGTTGACAGCGGCAGCGGCAGCCGTTCGGCGGATCGATTCGGTTGGCGATGGATCGATGACTTCTTTCTTCTTCCACGGAGCAGCGACCATGACGCCTCCTCTTCCACGGAACGACGACGCCTCTACCGCTAATGAAAAAAAGCGACTACCACTACTGCCACTACTACAACTAGAACAACAAGTGATGGCAACAAGCGTCTTCCGTTCGACGGATCAATTCTGTCTTCTTCCGCAGACGACGAGTCTTCTTCCGGCGACGAGGAGTCGACCTTTCTTCCGGCGACGACACTCTTCTGGCAGACCCACAACAAGGAAGCTCCTGCTCTAGTGCTACTACAAAAGGAACAAGCGGCATCTACACTACTACTGTATTGACTGGTTGACCGACAACAAACAAACAGGAAATCTTCTCCGTTGCGTTTGTGGCCATCAAGCCAACAATTCTCCTTTGAACCTTTGCTCCAGTCTTCATGCAGAGCCACCCACTCCTCTACCAGACTCCACAGTGCAGGTTGGGTGCTGAGAGTGAGGACAGGAACACCTTTCCCATGGAGAAATGCATGGCAGAATGACAACAAAATGCAATCCAAGCCTGGTTTTTTGTAGAGGCTCCAAGACAAACCTTGGAGATAGCTAATGCTTTTCAAGGGGAGTGTCTGTGAGTGTGTTGGGGTGCTAGTCCTCTGAAAGCATTAGCAATCTGAATGTATTGGTAAAGCTAATAGCCATTTGGTCAACACTGTTGCCATGGTGATAAAATTCATTTTATTTTCTTCAATCTTTTCTTTTTGTGAACCCGTGAGTTCAAAACAGGATTCGCGAAATGACCACTTCTGGGTTCCCATTTCCGAAAACCGAAACATAACCGTCCAAAACGCTCACATTTTGACACCTGTCAGCGGTGTATAAAGTCATCCTGTACCTGGCACGGTTTTGCCTGTTGGTAGTCTCGTCATTTCGTCGCATGGTGATTTGGTTTGCTACAAGCAGCTAAGTTGGCTCATAACTAAGCAATGGTCGAGTGAGTCTTGGAAGGAGCCGAAGGCCGCGCTCGAGCATCTTCGGAGGCGCAACCTACGGTAAAAAATCATCTGACGGAAAACAACCCGAAACAACCAACACGACGAAGCGAAAAAGAAGTGCGGAAGTGACCGACAAGTCGAGGCTGTGTGGACTGCGCAGCACAATCACCACTGCTCTGTGTTCCTGTTTTGGCCAATTGCACTACAAGCTGCATTCTATTAGTTGACAATGACGACAATTCGGTAAGTTTTTGTTTGTGTGTGCCGAGTCGAGTCGAGTCAAGTTGGTCATTTTTAATGGGTGCGCGATGGGCTGATTGACGGCATCGTCGATCTTTGAAAATTGGATGGTTGGCTGCTGTGGTGATTTGAGATAGAAATGCAACCTGTTGGTTGATTTTTGGATGGAATTTTGTTTTGTGGTGATTTGTGGTGAAATATTTATTGCTTGGCATTGTCAGCACTGTTTGGCTCACTCACCTCGACCATCGGTCTCTCGTACATTGATAGCTATTTTATCCCAGAAGATGGGGATGAGGAGGCTTATCCCAATGTATTTCTCGCCGCAAAATCAAGGCATGCTGGGGTTCCGCCAACACTTGGACAGATCCGGGATGCTTTTCCGTTGCCGGGTCGGTATCATTTCCGCTTCAAAAGCCCACTGTTTCCTGGCGGCGACCGCGACAAAGATGCAATGGCTGTGTGGATGGATTGTGTAAAGGACACTGCACCTGTTCCCACTTGGCGTAACACTATTGTAGCAAAAGTGACCAGATTGGGCATGGAGGAAGAAGACGATGAAGATGATGATGATTTTGTCAATGCCGGATCAGCAGCGCCTCCAGCCATTCCTCACTCCCATTCGGCCCCAGCTCCAACCCGAAACGTCTCAAGTTCGGCTCCACCCCAACAACACGCCCCTCCCCCGCAACCAGCACCCGCCCGTGCCCCAGAACCATCATTGGATATTTTTGGCACTCCTTCACCTGCTGCTCCAGCTTCTTCCACCATGCCAATCTCAGCACCACCGAGCACGGGAAATTTGTTAGATGGCCATCACCCGGCACCTGCCCCTTCCTCTGGTGGCCTGTTGGATATGGATACACCCGTTTATGGAGGAGGCCAAGCCGCAGCCAGCAATGTGCACAGTGATTTCTTGGGAATGACAGCTCCTGTCACGACCCCACAACAGCAGCAAACTCCCGCCTTCAATAATCAACCATACGGGCAGCAGCAACAACAACAACCACGCCAGCAGCAACAGCAGCAGAGCATGCGCCAAACCAACCAAAATGCTTTTGGAAACTTTACTGATCAGCAGGGCCCTTTTGGAGGTCTGGGAACTCCTTGGAAGTAGAATTTTAGATCTGCTGGAATGGAATGGCCAAATCTTGAACGGAACGATGACAAAATAAATGAGGTAGGAGTGGGCGGGTTGAGACTGTGCAGGCACCATGCGTTTTCGTGCTGTGCTGTATCATAGCTACTTTGTGTGCTGCTTGTGGTCGGTTGGCTGAGGTAGAAAGCCGCGTTGGATTTGGATATCAATTCTAGATAAATGAACATTTCGCTTTTGGCAACTGGTGTCTTGTATGTACGACATCAACCTGGCAGCAGTCATTTGGCACCAGACTCGGAAACCTTCGTTGAATCATCGTACTTAGTCTTGTACCGACAGCCGTACCTACGACGCTGAAGTATGTGTTTAGCTTGCAGCACGGCGAATTGTGCATTTCTCATGATGTCACAACTGGTGAACTACCGTATCTCGCATCCGAAGCTCTACCGGTTACAGAAACCAAACCTTCTATTAAATACCGTAGCTACCGGTAGATCAAAATGAAAATTATCACATGCATCCATTCTCTTCTGACCATTTCAAAATCTCCTGGAGCGCGTTCCAGGGTCCCAATGGAAGTCTATTTTGTCACACTTCCAAATGTCCCATCGCAGGAGCGGGTGAGCACATTCCGGTGCGTTGGCTCCATGGTTGTCATTTCGCCCTGACCATCACAACTTGGACAATGACAATCATTTTGCGGCAACCCAGGTCGAAATTCCAAAGTGCCTGAACAGTAGGGTGAGGGATAATTAACGGATCGAAAGCCTTCAGATGTGGATCCCATACCGGTATATCCCGTCGACACTCCAACACTCCAACCGACACCTCACACCTGGATGTTCATTCGATAGCACCAACGAAACAACAACAATAGGCACAAGAAAGAATCATGGTGGAAGAAGATAATGAAAAGAGCAGCTCTGCTAAAGTTAAAGTGGATGGTCAGGAGACTGAAGAAGGCGGTTCTGAGGATGTCGATGTGGAAGAGAACATGACATCTCCCTCCTCCGATGATGGCAGTAGTAATGGAGATTGGGATGGTGATGCCGAAGAAGAGGACGAATCGATGCCATACTTATCATACTCTCGCATGTTTGGCTCCTTGCCTCGACGGCGGAACGAGGGAAACAATGGCGATCCCTCGAGTCACACCTTGGCTGTGCCGGCCACTTGCTCAGTGATGGCACAAGTCATTTTCTCACAGCAAGATTCAATTTCCCAGAGTAACAGTGGAGCAGCACCCTCCAGTCCTGAGTCTGTATCAGCCAATGACCAACGAACCTCCAATCCGCCCGGTCCTAGTCGACAATCACCTCAAATATCACAGGGAGATCCCTTGCTCTCGCAACAGCCACACTATGTTGTGGCAATGGGACATGCCAATGGTACCATTGACCTGGTAGACGCGAGAACTGGAATGGCGATTGCCCACCCTGATCAATTGCGTCTTCGGGATGCTAGTCACCAACCAGAACCCATCATCGACTTAAGCATGGACTCCAGTGGGACATTCTTGGCTGCGATGGATGCAGGTAGAATGCTCGTCATCTGGGAATTTCAATACACCATTACTACCAACCCACCGACTCCCCAGCCAATGCCACCATCCCAGACACAGCACCAGGCTCCACCAGCTGAAGCGGGGGTGTTTTCTAGCTTCATGTCGGCTTTCGCAGGGAGTGTTTCGGCTGCACCCAACAACAGTACCTCGTCGAACTCTGTTGCAATGCCAAATCAGGTTGCCTTACCTGCTGATTCCCCTAGCACCAGCATGGTGCCACGGCTGGCGACGTCATCTATCCAACTCTCGAGAATATCATATCCCAGATCCTTTGGCGTCCCAACTTGCATCGCTATCGATCCATCGTACAAGAGGGGAAGAAGAGACAAGGCCATTTTGGCAGGATTTTTGGATGGCAGACTCGTCCTGACAAAACGGGGCTACATGTTCCAAAGAAGAACTGACGCCATCATTTATCAAGGGACCTATCATATTGAGGGCAACCTTCATCGGGGAATTGAGGCAATCGAATGGAGAGGCTCGCTTGCGGCTTGGGCGGATGCCAGGTGAGATGGAGCTCTTGCACACGTCGCACTGTACTGATCTGTTTTCGTTCCTAACCACCTTTCACGTGAATTTCTTTTGTTTACATCCATCTTCCATTCGTACTCTAGCGGAATTCGCCTCTTTGACACTGAAACCTTATCCAGAATTGCACACATTGATCGACCCTCGGGAGCACGACCATCCCTCTACCCAACGCTGGCGTCTCTGCGGCCTTCGTTGTGCTTCGAAACAGAAAGCTATCTCCTGGTGGCATGGGGAGATTGCTTGATGGGACTTTCTATCACAGACCACAACCGACCCTCAGAAGGACAGGGCACCAACCAGAATGACAACCCATTGATGGGTTTGGAAATGCCGCAACAACAACCCTCCGTTCGCCGTCGAACTGTCGACTGTTCCATGGCCTGGGAACTTGACTGTGTTGCATCGGGTGTAGTGCCTCTTGATAGCGAACACGTATTGGTTTTGGGGGTGGTTCCACCAGCTGATGACGAGGAGGAAGAGGAAATGGGCGCCAACGATGTAGAGCTTCAAATCATTGCCAAAGCGGACGGGTCAATTGCCTTTTCCAATATCTTGCCCTTGCTGAAAGATGTTTCAGCCAATCAGCAGTCGTTATCGCCCAATCAGATTGCTGCCAACGCTGCAACGGAATCGGCCTCGGACTACAATCTGCTTTCCACTTTTGCTTTGCCCCGCATGGACGACGTATTCGAGGCCGCGGCTCAGGAAAACCCCCTCGATGACGATGAATACATGCCTGTGGGTCTGTTCACCCAAACGAGTCAAACTCTGCGACCCTTTGTGGATCCACACTTGAAGTGGAGTCTCAAGGAAACTTTTGATGGCGTCGGAGAGAGAGAAGTCGTGCTTTCTGTGGACGAAAATCTGGGTGGGGACATACATCATCTTGCACCTGGCAGAAGGGGCGATGATGAGACAGGTAGTGTCGACAGTGATGACTACGGGTTCATATTTCGCCCCCTTCCAGCAACCACTGACGAAGGCACCACAGAACAAGGTGCAAGTGGAACCCCTCCCCTGGTGGTTATCACATCAACTTCAGATGTTGTGCTTGCCCGCATGAGGGACGTCGACGATTCGATCTCTCACGCGTTGGCATCTGGAAAGAGAGCTCTTGCTCTTCGGAGAGCTTTGTGTCACAGGCGAAGAGTACGGAAAACTTCGCTTTCTGATATGGTCAACGAATACTTCTCGTCGCTCTTGCGAATTCCCACAAGCGAATCGAATGACCAAGACAATAAGCAACCTACAAAGGCCCTGTCTATTAGGAGACTAAAGCTAGCAGCTCGGGCGATGCCGGTCCTGTTTGGCGGCGAAATACAGCTTTGGGAGCGGTGGATAAAAGAGGTTGAGAACATACCCGGAGCGATGTTCATTTTGGGCGATCATCTTCCCGTTCGAGACCCTATACTACCCAAAGAATTGTATGGAAAGGTGCTCGAGACTATGCTTGCAGAATTGGAGCAAATGAATGCCATGGCTGCAACACAAGATGATGATGTCACCAGAAAAATCATTGCCGCACGGAGACAATTTCTATTTACGTTGATTGGGTGGGGACCCACTAGCTTTCTCAAGGAGTACGTGAAGCTTTGCAAGAATAATGGAAGAATTGGAGGGGGTGACAAGGTTGCTGCAGACGACGCTGAAGCTCGATTTGCTCGGCGCTACACGCAAAGTTCGGCTGGCTACCTGAGGTTTCCCGTTCCAGCGGACGACTCTCACAGAGGACCAAGTATTAGATCAGATGGTTACCCCGACGATAAACAAGCTTTGTTCGATATTGACACAGTGGCGAACATGGTTAGCCGCAACGCAATTCTGATGTCTGATGAGGTTTCAATTGTCGAAGCCAATGCAATGAAAGGAAAGAATACGCACGCCGCCCTCGATGCAATGGCCAAGTTAAACATGATGCGAGGTCGATATGACGCTGCATTGAAAAGCTTTCTTTTCATTGGGGCCCTTCATTCTTCACGCCCCCTCTCGGATTTCGAAGCGGGGGCTATCGAGTTTTTGGCTCTTGTTGGAGGCCGCGAAGTGGACAGACCATGGAAAGCCGAAAGTGGCGCCTCGTACACGTACCTGCTCGATGTGATCGACGGTCACAACCTCCATCAGTGCCTTCTTGACGAAACCTTCTTGGGGGAGAACGGGATCCCGCCGCTCTTCGCTCTACTGCAGCTCGTTGGTTTTCGTGAGATGGGAATCTTCTTGATTGAACACTGTGTACCACCTCAAATTCAACAGTACACGCGCTCGCCAGGAGATGGCCCCTCAACGGGTGCCAACGAGGAGAGGAGGGGAACTATTCCTTTGGATCTCGTTGCAAGTCAACTGAAGCTACGACCACCAATACTGCACTGGTACCTCCATCTTGTGTTCTTGCAAAAGCCTGAAGTGTATGTGCGCTTCCCGAACACAGCTTACCCCCCGCAAGCAGTCACCGAACTGCACCGGCTCGATTTTGACCTGCATGTCAAGTATTCTGGTCGAGAGAGAGATTCTGCATGGTTTTGTGCACAAGTCGAAGCGTACAAAGTCAGTAACACATCCACGCGGCTGCTGCAGTTTTTGAAGGTGAGATGTTTTGTCTGGTATCAAAGAATGCTTGTTTTGCGCTTCGTTCGTCTTGGTCACTAACGAGCCACTTTGCTGCCCGAACTCCCTTCCTGCTAGACAACTTTACCCCTCGGTGGTATTCGAATTGCGGATGCCAGAACGACTCTTGAGTCCGAACGGAGCAAAGATGAAGGCGTAGACTTTTCCTCTACGTATGCTCTGGAATTGGCTTTTTGCATCGAAATGTATGGAAATGAAACCGAGGAAGAAGCAGAACAGGTGCTTGACTTGTACATGAAGGGCACAAAGAGTTTGGTTTTGGCCGTATCGTTTTCCCAGCGAACCACGAAGTACTCGAGCCGTTTGTGGAAAGCGCTGATTGATTACTGCCTCACTCATGAAGGTGGTCGTTTGTTTGGCTCTCTCTTGGAGGCGGCCGCATTGTCAGGCGCCGATTTGGCAAAATTGGTGAAGAGGATTCCCACTGGAATGGCCATTGAAGGTTTGCGACCGCGGTTGGTTGCAGCAGTTGCGGACTACAGATTAAAGTTGAAACTGCACGAAGCCGCTTCGGAGGGAGCCACCCAAGAGATGATTTCTATTTTACAGGAGCTAAGCCACCGTTCCCGGCGGGGCACCCGATCCGAGTTGCAGCTGTCAGCTTTCCTACCAGATCCTTTCGGTGTTGGAGGCATGACTGAAGGCAAAGAAGAGCCCAAAGACGACGACCGCAAGCCGAGCGCTTGGCCTCAAATGGTCCTTCGTAGCGAGATGCGGACTGGTAAAAGGCGCGATCGGCAGAGACACTGCCTGCCTCCAACCATGCAATAACGAAAATAAAATTTATTGAGTTGTGTTGTGTGGATTGGTTCGTCATACCATGTTGTCACGCTCCAATCTCCTGGCTTTTCGCCTCAAATCCTTGATGGATATTTTCTGTATTGGCACTGTGTTTTCATCGCTTCCGTTGTCGTCAAAATTGTCGTCGTCTTCCTGCTCATAGTAATCGTCTTCTTCCATCCTCCTGTCCCGACTATAGGCTTCACTTTGTACCCAATCATAACCCTGGCTGTAATATGATTCCTCCTCCTCTACTTCGTCTGACTCATCATCATTAAATGTTGCGTCCAGTTGTTGGTCGTCCTCTGCTTCCCCTCTGTGGAACTTGTTTCGGTACTCTTCCACTCCAATCTCTGCCCCCTCCATGATGACATTCCAAAGTTGCTTGGTGCCTTCTCCGGTGACACTACTGACACACAATGGTTGTCCTTCTGGCAATCCCAACCCGTTTCGAATATCGAGTAATTGTCGTTCGAGACTGTTGGAGGAAATTTTGTCGACTTTGGTGGCCACCACCACAATGGGAACTCCCATATCGTAGAGTGCCGCCAATACGATGCGATCATCTTCCGTGGGCACACGACGAATATCGACCAACAATATTCCCAAGACGAGTTCTCTGCGCGTGTCCAAGTACCGTTCGGCTGTTTGTTGTACGGATTCTTTAATATCCTTGGATAATTTTGCATATCCGAATCCAGGAAGGTCTACAAATCCCAACAAGGGTTTTTCCTTTTTGTTGTAAAAGGCGTATAGATTGACACTGGCAGTGGCGCCTGGGGTCTTTCCGACACGTGCTTCATCATTGAACCCCGCTTGCTTTCTCGAAAAAGACGAGAGTCGATTGAGCAGACTGCTTTTCCCCACGTTGGAGCTGTATAAATAAATAAAAATAGAGAGAAGGAAGACCAAACAGAGCATAATTTAGATATCCCGGTTGTATTTGAATAAAATAGGCATACAGTCTAGACTCGACTCGACTCACCGTCCGAGAAAGGCAATTTCTGGCACTCCAATACGAGGAGGCAATTGTCGGTCTAGAACAGAAGCCACAAACTTCATCCCCGAGGATGCCGACGACGGATTGAATCGTTTCCAGGATAAGAAACTGCGTTCGACATGGCTTAGAAATGCCTTGGAAACCACTTGTTGTGGTTGTTGTTCTTTTTCCTCCGGTTGCAAACCCTGTTGGATTCGTTCTCTTCGTCGTTTTTCCACAGCGACATTCTTTTTGGCATCTTTTTTACTCAAGACTTGCCATGGTGGGGCTCGGTGTTGGCGGCCCTGGGTATTGTTGTTGTTGTTGTTGGTATCGGATGCAGCTGCAGATGATTTCTTTGGAGGGTTGGCTTCTTTGCTCTTGGACTTGGTGGGTGCAGTGCCCTTGCTGTTCTTTTTCTTATTGTTATTACTGTTGCCGCTGCCAGCATTGGATCTCCGCTTGGCTGCCAACAGTTGCGAGGACGATGAACTCTTGTGAAAGAATAATGGTGGAGGAACTTGCTGGATTTGGTGTGGGTATAGTTTATTTGTGTATTGATTGTGGTAGCGATTGGGCAGTGCAGGCAATGGCTGAAAGCCCCAACATTGGTTTGCAGTGAGCAAAAATCCAATAGTTGCTAGAGACAGCGCCATTTTCCTCATCTTCCACTCGTTATCTCAATAGGTTGTGCGATCTTGGTGTGATGCTTCCAAAGGAATTCGATGGCCAGCACATGGATTTGGCATCACTTCCATGGCAGCTACACGTGGAATGCACGAAAATACGTCAGTGACGAAAGCGCTCGGATCCCCAAAATCACAATCGGTTTCTCATGCAGAGATTCTAGCTATTTTCCACCACGATTATACCTTGTTGGTACATTCTTAAAACAACCGTCTATTACCATCAACAATACAATAGGAAGTAACAATGAGCAAGGTTTTGTTTGGTGCTTTGGCGCTTGCCATCTTGGGATCTGTCCCATCATCCAGAGCTTTTTCGGTTCTTCCGCAAAAATCGACCACCACCACCTGGATTCCCGGTCTTCTGCGAGATTCTTCCACAGTCCGGTTCCTGGCTGCAGAGGAGGACGAAGGAGAAAAAACTAGTAGCGTCAAGGAACTGGAACCAGACAGTCATGAAGAGCTCATGTATGCCTTGGGAGTCAACTTGGCAAGACAATTGGGGGATGTTCGACCACGTAAGATTATGGATTGTTTGTGGTTGTTTATTTCCATTTTAAAATTTGTTGACCTGACAATAACACCATCACCCATCACCGACATGATGTCTTCTTTCTTGTTATTTTTGATTTATTTCAGTGGTGGAAAATGGAGAAGAATTAGCCCAAGTGGCCAAAGGATTGTTGGATTGTGTGGTCGGTAGAATGGATGAATCACAACAACAGGCACTCCTATCCAAACGAGGGAAAGAACTCAATGGACTCATCACGGAACGGGCCAACAGAATAAAGGACAAACTCGAACAAGCTGGAAGAGACATGCTAGCTCAAATGGAGAAAAAGGAGGGAATCATCAAACTAGATTCAGGGGTCCGAGTCGATATTCTAGACCACGGTCCCGATGGACCAGGAAGTGGACAACGGCCCACACAAGCCAGTACGGTCAAGGTGCATTATCACGGCACATTGGCGGATGGCACCATTTTTGACTCGACGCTTGGTGAGGATCCAGTAACATTTCCATTGAATGGGGTTGTCCCTGGATGGAGAGAAGGTGTCTTGAAAATGCACGAGGGAGAAACCGCCATGATTGGCATCCCACCAGAACAAGCCTATGGCGACGAGGGCACACCTGATGGACGTATCCCTGGAGGATCCACACTCTTTTTCAAGATTCAATTGCTGGAAATTCTATCTGCGGGAATTGGAGGTGGACCCACATTGCTGGGTGCGGATGGACAAAGTATCAAAAAAGGAGGAGGAGGAGGACTGCTAGGTGCGGATGGAAAGCCACTGGCATAGACAACAACACCAACAGCCAACAGCAAAAGGACGGCAATGAAACCCAACAATCCACTACTCAACTGGCACAACTAACGATGCAGCAGAACGACGGAATGTCAAGATATAGTTGAAAGCTGGATCATTCTTAGAATTAATGCTAGTAGTGAAACATGGTGACCACTTCCAAGCAACGGATCATTGGCCTCCAGATTCTTTGTCAGGAAAAACAAGCACACAAGTCCAGCTCCAAAGAGCCTGTTCTCTTGTTCCTTGTATCTCCGTCATTCCATCTGATGAGGCCGATTCACCGCGGGAAAATCGCCAGCAATGGCTACACTTGTGGCTGGCTATCTAGCTAGTCTAGCTAGCTAGTTGACAACATCTTCTGCGTACTCCTGGAGAGAGCTTTTGATTTGATCCATGCTCTTTTTGCGCTTGGATGCGTTCTTTCGAAACAGATCTTGTTGGCGACCGCTCCAGATCTGCACCTTTTGTTTGTTGTGCTCGGCTGTTACGATAACTTTGATGGGATAATTGTTCGTCCCGTTCGGAACAACCTTGCTTTCGGGGAACACCTCCTTGACGCAAGAGATGGCCGTCTGCAGCTCTTGGTCCCCTCCGTCTCAGTTGAAACTCTGTGTTGATTGTTGTTGTTGTTCGTCGATCGTTGTCATGTCAAAGTGATGAGTACGGCAAGAAGGCAAGAAGGCAAGAAGGTCAGAGCACGATTACATGTAACGTAACGGAACGTGGCAATTGAAAACACGGCGCCGCAGAGCATGAACAGGAGCAGCTCTGTAGGCACCTCCAAAACAACGCCAGCCTATCACAGAAGCTCGCACGAGGAACTCACGTAGGTCACGGTGAATGTAGGTAGCGCCATTGTGGGTGGTTAGATTTGTATATTATGGAAAATGTGGAGAATAAACGATGGTCGGTGAGGTGTGAGGTAAGACCGGAAGTTGTGATGACACGCGAAAAAAAATTACCCAAGCAGAATTTTTTCTTATTCCCTGTGGATCACGGCCTTAGCTAGTTTAGTTTCCTGCATCCCAAAAATATTATTGCCATTTTTAAAAACAATGACGTGGTCAATGCTCAAGATATCGAGAAAGCGTTCTTCACGCTGCCGCCAACAGGGACGATGGTATTACGCGCTGTCCCCCAAAACAAGCGGACAATCAAAGCTACACTGGTTGGACGAAAGGCCTTTGAACCGCTTCTCTAGAGCATCCCAAAGAAGAAACTACAGTCGGTTTTCGTGCTTGAAATGAATATGAAGTCTTCAACTTTGTTGCTCGCAGCAACTGCGTCATTGTTCGCTTTTGGAACTGTAGAATCTTTTCAAGTGTGTTCTCCTTTGAACGATAGACTCCAGCGGACCTGTCGTTTCATGGCACAAGAAGATGAATTCGCACCAAGACCAGAGACTAGTTTTGGGGCTGATGGAGTGCCAGAAGGTCAGTGCTAACCCTGAGACAGAGATGTTCTACGACACAACCAAATAACCAAATGCCTGGGTATTTCAGATATTGAACTAACGGTTGCCCAATGGAATCCTGCTAATTTGTGGTTATGCAACAGGCCAACGACCCGTCAATGAATTCCTGGATGTAACCAGCCAACCAATGTTCGGGTGGGCGTCTCTCGAGACCGGAAGCAAAGGGCTGCTCACTCGTCTGGTGACGGTATACTCGGTTCTATTTTTCACCGTGTAAGTCGTGGTCGGGTGTAGCGAATCATTACTTGCCAAACATTACTTACCGTGCCGTGCATTGAATTCACCCACCCTCATCTTCTGCTTTCTTCTGAAAAGGTGTTATCCCATTGCAGGGGCAACCTTTACACAGGATGGTCAGTAAGCTCGGGCTTGTTCTGGAATCCAAACCTTTTAACCTGGGTATGGACAAAGTTACAGTTGTTGATATGCCACTGCTCACTGCTTCATTCAAACGGAACGTGCATTTCTACTTACTTGTAGGCTATCTATTGCAAAAGATCACGGCTGCCAATGTGGGCGACTTGTTTGTCGCCTTGATGATCTTACTGCGGATTTTCAGCGGATGGTCATATGTAGGTTCTAGGTTAAACAGCAATGTGATTGAATACGAAGAAACCGGTTGGTATGACGGAGACTTTGAAACCAAGAGTCCATCCGAAAAACTCCGAGATGAACTGCTCTACGAAGAGAAGGTGGAGCCAGTTGTGGATAGACTGAAGCTTTTCACCATCAGTGCGGCAGGACTTTGGGTGGCGTCCTGCATAGGTTACAATGTTGCTCTCTCTGCAAAGCCGCTCTTTAATGAGTATGACCCAGCCATGCTTGAGCGTCTACGAGCAGACGACAAACTCGCCGATGTCGCCGCTCAACAAAGTGGTGGTAAACCCACATACTGTGACAATCGTTATGTAAGCGACACAACTCCTTTGTTGGACCACGATGTGAATTGATTTTCTTTCTTTTTGCTTTGCTCGCCGGAATCTTCTAACATGAGTGCAATCACCTGTATTGTTTGTACTTGCAGTATCGAGCGGTGGCGAATGGAGGCCAAGGTAAGCACACGGTGACGCGTTGTTGATTTATGGATTGTGCGATTACGTTGCTGACTGCAAAACTTTGCGGAATGTCTCTTGCTTCCAGGCTGCAATTAGATTCCTCGATGAAGTGCTACACGGGCTTGGCTTTTTCGCAGGTGCATCGACCCAGGTGCATCGACCAAGGAGCTCCTGGCGGCTGCTGGCATTCGTGGGCATCATCCGTGCCGGAACGATCCCTGCCACTACCAAACAATAGTGTTGCTCTTTAATAGAGAGAGACTTGCTAGCTAGCTACCGTAGTTCGAGAGGCCTCATGCGAGGTTTGCAACATAATCGTAGACCCAGCGATTGGATCTCCTTGCCGCCCGCGGAAGCAGCAGCGCCGTCAGCGCACATTGTTTCGTTGTGGCGTCGACGGATTGTCACGAGCTAGCTAGGATATGGTTTCGCCTTCGCGGGGTGCTTGAACGAAGCAATTCACTCTGCGCTGCACTCCCACGGTGCGCAGCCAATCTCGGCAAACAGCCAAGATGTTCATGGTACAGTACAGGTACCAATACGAAGAAAAAGCCACTGGAGAAAAAATCATCTTTATCTTTTGTTGTGGAATAAAACACTTAAAAATCTCCAGTTTTCGTTGTTCAGAAAGGGGGGATGCAGCAGCGATATCTGAAATCAGCGCATCACATTGACATGTAGGGTAATTTTTCTGCGTCGTGGTGGTTGGGTCAGCCGTTTTGGAAGACCCAATGGCACGGTATGTTTCGTTTTTTATAAATTGTTGATTGAAGCCGTTGTACGGCAGAGGTGCGGTGGGGGATCAAGTGCGGCGGCCGCCGTTTTGAGCCTGAATTTGTTTAGCTTTGGCTTTTTGCATCTCCTCGATTCTTTTGCGGCACTCCCACTCGTGTGCACTAGCAATAGGAAATTTCATGTTGAGCTTGTCGGCTGACTTCACGATGGGATTCTCAAAGAAGAAATCTGCGTCTAGTGCTTGCTCGGCAGACCAGCGCTTGTCGGGGTTGAGAATCAAGAGCTTCTCAATAAACTCGGCTGCTTTGTCCGTCATCCACTTTGGATTGGGCAACCGAGACCGCAGGGCTTCACGGAGACGGTTGGGGAATCGAGGCTCATCTCCTTTAGGTTCAAATTCCCTCCATTTGGGGCATCGACTCTTAATGTTGGGCCATTCTTCTTGTACAGGATGGCCGCATGTGCGAAAGATCAGATCGAGCTGGGTAGGCTCGTTTGCGCCCTTGAGGAAGCCAGATCGTCGGAACATTTCTGCAATGATGCATCCAACCGACCACATGTCAATCTTAGGACCATAAGCCCTGTCTCCCAGCAAGACTTCTGGGGGGCGGTACCAGAGCGTGATCACGACGGGGGTCAGGAGTTTGTTATCGCTGCTCCAAGTACGAGCAAGACCCCAATCAGCAATCTTCAGCTCTCCGCGTCGGTTGATGAGTAAATTGGAGCTCTTGAGGTCCCTGTGAATGACTTTGTTTTTGTGCATGTAATGCGTGCCCGCCAAGAGCTGATGCGACCATGATTTGATGTGATCCAGTGTGAAACGGATTTCTGGCGTTTCCAGGATTCCAGTCAAATCGTATTCCAGATACTCAAACACCATGTAAACGCTCTTTGGGATGGCTCCCGAATCTGTATTGCCGACGGTACATTGCACACACAGCCAATCAAGAGGAGTGAGTGGGTGATCTGTCGAAAAGATTTATACAAGGTACTTGACGTATTACAAAATACCCCGTGATAGAACAGTACATTCAATGTAGGCAAGTTGAACTGCACGTCAACTCGTGAAAAGTGGAGCTGCGCGCGAAACTATATAATGCCAATATCCCCAACGAAGCGAAAGCAGCCGAGCATCCCAACGCACGGAACGTACCTTTGGAAGTGACAATTTCCTGCAGATTGACAATGTTTGGGTGATGTAGGGCCTTTAGGATTTTGACCTCTCGCAGAGCTGTGATGGGAAACCCATTTACTTCAGCCTTGGTATTGATCCGCTTGAGAGCGGATATTTCGTTGGTCTTTTTGTCACGTCCAACAAACACGCTCCTTTTCATCCAATTCAATTGAATGAATGGCAAGATTGACCAATTAGCAAGCTAGCTCGCTGTACAATGGACCGTCTTAAGCTCAACGCAACAAACGTACCCATAAGTGCCCTCTCCGACCTGACCCTTACTTTCGAACACTTCCACATCACGGAGCACGATAGGGGCTTGAATGGAAAGCGAAGCCCAGCGCCGGCGCTTCGCAGGCGACTGAGAGGTAGCAGAGGGTGCTGGCCGCTTGTTGGTTGGTGGTTTAGCTTTCGGAGGTGGCTGCTTTGGGAGGGGGAGGAGGAGGTGGTGGTTTCTTCTGGGACGAAGCTTTCTTTTTCGGGGGAGGCGGCGGCGGGGGTGGCTTTTTGCCCGGACCGGGATGAGGGGGCGCCATAGTAGCGGCACTCGCCATTGTTGTTGACTTCACCTTTGAGGCGCTGAGGTTACTACAAGAGCCCTCTTCAAAGGATGCTTTCTCTGTGATCCTCGCACACTCGGAACCAGAGAACGAAATGGAGCAGTGCCAAGCAGATTGTCGATCGATCGATCCAACTACCAACAAAGGCAATGAGACAGCAAAGCTCCCTGCGGATAACAGTTTGACTCCAAAGGAGTTAAACGACCCCACAAGAGCCCCTCCAAGAACCTCCTCTTTATCGAATCGTTAGTTAAAACCTGCACAACAAGAGGCAAGGGCACAGAGGTATCAGTGTGATTGCTTGGATAATGAGGTTGGACATCCGGAAGTGCCGACAGCAGTGGCGTGGTGCTGCAGCTGTGGCTTGCTGTTTGGATCGAATGAGTCCATTGAATCGTGCGCGTGACAGACCATGGACACGCCAATGGAAGGTCCAAGAATCTCAATCGAAAGCAACCATGGCACCTTCAGCGCTGCTCCTGTGGCAACAACGACGCCATTAACTCCACCATACTCACCCAATGGTTACTGATAGGATAAGAAATAGAATAGAGGGCGGCTCTGCCCTTGGAAGATTTTGAAAAGACGCAGGCGACAACGACAACAGAGGCAACAGCGAAACGTAGCTTCGGCTGCAGCTCTGCTGTGAAAGTGGTCCTTCCTCGGTCCTCTGCCATCCAACAACACTGCCACGCTGCCACGGGTCAGTTGGGCGACCGGTTTCCACGGGTTAGTGTTATGAGTCACGAGTCGAATCCCGTCTGAAGCAAGCAATGCACATCATCATTATTTTACCAAACCACAATCACCATGGCGCTTTCAGCGACGGCACGTAGATTGTCGAAGCTTATCATTACTGCCGAAGGAGTCTCAACTTTTCACTGCACAGCCGCTCAATCCTGGTGGAACTGTAGACATCCAAAACGGCGGTTGGCTTCCTCCTCGTCATCCTTCCCAACCGATCATACCGGTACCACGAATGGTAGCGGAACCACTGCTTTTGCCACTGGTACTGCCGAGGATGAATGGGCTGATATTGACGCAACGGTTGCTCCATACGTGAAGTCGTGTCTGCCATCTGAGGACGAACCAAAGGATAACCGCAAACGATGGGATACACAATTCCATATACACCTTCTGGGAACGGGAGCTGGGACGTCGACGCACCGAATGCCAGCCTGCACGGTCGTGCGTCTGGGAGCGGGAGACGGGTTGGTCTTTGATGCGGGAGAAGGCAGTCGAATACAAGTCAAAAAATCTATAGTCAAAATGAAAACGCTTTCCAGATTCTTTATCACTCATTTACATGCGGATCATGTGCTGGGGTTGCCCAGCCTGCTGCTAACAGTGGCCCAGGCTGGTCCACCGGACGAAGACTCTGTGATACAAGTGTACGGCCCACCAGGTATGTAGCCACTCTCGGCATCCACCAGATGAATGTTCTTGTTTGTCTAGCTGGCTAGCTAGCTTGCATTGGACAGTTGCAAGCGTCACTCAAAAGCGACAATCCACTTTTCCAGGTCTTTACAACTTTGTAGTAGCCAACTTGGCTTTGACCCATAGCAGCCTTGGAAGGACCACAGTAGAGGTATTTGAGTTGGTGGGAGGCCAATGTCGCGTCCACTGGCAACGACGAGCAATGACGGGATCATTTCCTGCCTTTCGTCACGATAATGTCGTTCGAAAGACACTTCGTTGCGACGAGGATGGACTCTGGAAGGTTAAGGTCTTTCAAGAAATCACCAGAGAAACTGATAATCGCGCAATGGACTATCAAATCACAGCGGGTGAGGTTTACCATGTGCCTCATGTGCCTACATTTGGGTATGTCATAGAAGAGCAACAGCCTTTGCCAAGGATTGATGTGGAACGAGCCGAGAGTTTGGGAGTGGAAAGTGGTGTCAAGTTTAAACTACTCAAGAATGGGTTCGCTGTAATGGATGAATCTGGAAAACGAGAGGTGAAACCAGAGGAGATCACCGTGAAAAGCCCATTCAAAGCACGCAAAGTTGCTATTTTGGGTGACACCTGTGGAATTCCACCGCCAATGGCTCGGCTCTGCCAGAATGTTGATGTCTTGTTGCACGAAGCAACAATGCTGAACGAAGAGAAACGCTCGGTGAGTTGGTTTACAATGCATTGTTTTCGGTCTTTTTCAAGGCGTATGCAACAGCATGAAAAATGTCATGAAGCTAACGTTTTGTATTCACCCAAGCTTGGCCTCAAGCGAGGACACTCGACTGCTGCCATGGCCGGCGAATTTGCCGATGCTGTCAACGCTGATCTGCTTGTTCTCAATCACCTCAACCACAGTGGAGGGATGACACAGCAAGCAGCCAGAGAGGCCGAGGGATCAATCAAGGGAGGAACTCGAGTAGTGAGTGCCTTGGACTTCATGGAACTGGCAATTCCACGAGAAGGTTTTAAGTTCGGGGGCAATCCACTGTAATTGTTGACTGGGAACCTGAAAGTCTCATTCAGGCAAGGATAGATGACCCCTCAGAGAATATCCTGGTGAGATAGTACTATTGCAAGAATCAATGTAAGCTAGCTATTGTATGTATCGTTCCAATGACTCAGAAGTCGCTACCGCCCAACACAGGTAACCATTCGATCAAAGCATTTGTTCAGTTCGCCTGTAATCTCTCGGTTTCACCAAGCTGTTCGGACGGGACGTGATGGGATGTCTTCGTTGCGTGATATTGCTTATTGTTGTTTTGCCTTTGGCGCTGGGCTCAGCACTGCAGCAACTGCGGCAAGCACGAGGCCAGCGCCGAATCCAGTTGTAGGGCTCGTCAACAAAGTTGCCACTCCAGTACCCCATCCAACGAATGAATCAATGCCCTTCAGTTGCAAGAGACCTGAAGGAATGACAACTGATTTCAGTACCGCACTGATAATGATAGATGATAGGGCTGCTTTTGGACAGGGACTCATGATGCTCATGTATGGTAGAAGATAAATCCAGGCAAGTGCCGTTATCAAGGCGGATAGCTGTGATGTTGTGCCAGTCATTCGCTGTGATAATGATATTGGTTGGGGCGAATATTTCAAAACAAGCAAAGTAAGCATTTTATTCCTCTTCTGGCTGATTGCATCATGAAACGCATGCATAAATACGGCAGATATGGACTTACCGAGACAAGCGACCTGCTCATGCTTCCACTCACAGGGGCCGAGCCAACCGCTGCAGCTACCCCGCAGGCAACACCTTGTGCCACCATTTCTCTCTCTGCAGACCACGGGATGCCATTTTCAGCCTCAAAACCGGAAGCAATTCCCATAATGGAGAGGAAATTAACTGCTGCAAATAGAGTTGCTGATGTGGCCAGCATGAGGTATCCACCAAACCTTTCTACCAGCGTCTCTGGAATGTCCATGACGAGCTGTTTGAGATCCAAAAACTCCACTGGTACTCTGATGCGTCCATCCAGAAACGAGAATCCAGCATCAGGGTCTACCTGTGGGATTTCACCGACCACAGAACCGTCATAGTTGAAATGAATGCTGTAGACTGTTGCAATGCCCGTGACCAAAATCACTTCGGTTCCTGGTGGAAGAAATTTGGGCATAAAGTTTTTGGATTGCACGACAAAGGCAGTGCCGAATACAAAGAGAATAGTCGAAGCCAGTCCCCACTCGAACGGTATGGTCATGGCATATAGTAGATTGGTTACCGACACGGCTCCTGGGGCCAATGATTTGAATTCGGCCACTTGTCTGGCAATGGAAGAACTCTTGGCCAATGTCTTGAGTTGACCCGATCCTTGTGCGAATATTCCATTGGGCATTGCCGACAGAAACACACCAACGGCACATCCCCATTTGAATCCCGTCCTCACTGGTTTGGGTACTCCCTTGGCGAGTTTTCCAAATCCTACAAGGGCCAAGAAAACAGATGCCAAGCCGACACAGAGAGAATATTGTGCTACCAATGTCACGTATGCTTCTTCTCCGTGCTGCGCGACATACGCCTCCCCATCCAGATCGGACTTGCACATTAATGCCGTAATGCTGGTAACTCCAGCAGACATGAAGGGAGATCCGGTGGTGAGTCCATAGGCAAAGAGGGGTGGCCCTGCCGTCTGCAAACCGCGGTAACTCGCATAGCCGACCAATTCGGCATAGCTTACTAGTTGAGGTACCGAAGTGGCGGCCATAATGGCACCAGAGAGGAAATCATTGATTGGGCTAATCGGAAACAAAGAAAGAAGCCGGAGGTCAGTCATAGAAATGACAAAAAGAGATTCACCGACCACAGATTGGACTCGACTCACTTGAATTTTGGTTTTCCCATTTTTGTTTTCTTGTTGCTGTGTCTCGCTCCAAGCCAAATCGATGGTTATATTTCCTCTTTGATAATTCTGGCTTGCTGGCTAGCTAGCTATTTTAATAGTGGTCCTTTTTATTCGAGCAACATGCCGAGGAAAATGAGCAATAGAAGCGAAATGATAATCTGTCCCAATGATGCCCGCGATGATGCGATGGGAAGACTCTGTCGGAGCGAGGAAGTGCGTGGTGCGTGTTCCGAATCGAATCGAATCAATCATCTCATTCATGTAAAATAAGCCAGCAGTTTGGGTTTGACACGTGGAGATGAAACAGTGACGTTTGGTGTCACCCAATCACAACTATGGTACAGCCTGATATCCTGATACCACCGCAGAACTTGCAGCCACATCCACCCAACAGAGAGAACCAACTGATCAACCTGTCGCTGCAAAAGGTTTGTGCTAGCCAGCCAGAATAGCGACATATAATATTTGGTCGCAACATCTTGTTTCTGAGAACTTCTAAAGATTAGTTAAAGCATGACAATGTCGAATCAATATCTCTTGGTGCTTGCGGCTTTGATCTGCCTGAGCCAGGATACCCAAGGATTTGTCGTGGGACCTCTACGAACGCCTTCCAACGTTTTTCGCAAACAATCCGCTGGAGTCTGTGTTTTTGCCGATGTCAGCGACGATGTGACTGAATCTGCAGCAGATGCCTCGGAAGATGCTCCAGTTGCAGAAGAAAGTGGGGAAGCAGAAGCACCAAAAGAAGAGGCCGAGCGACACACTGTCTTCGTGGGTAACATGCCCTTTGGTACGTGGCGATACCCTCATCTTCTGATCCTATTCTGAAGTGTTTGCAATGTATGTGTGTACGCCGTTGTGCTGACATGCTGTTCCTTTCCTTGATTTCGCCCCTGCAGACACAAACAATGACGCATTGTTGGAATTGTTTAGTCAGCATGGAGACGTTAAGCTTGTCAGCATCCCCAAAAACGATGACACTGGTCTATCCAAAGGCTTTGGTTTTGTGGACATGGCATCTCAAGAAGAATGTCAGGCTGCCATTGATAATCTCAATGGGTCTGAGTTTAACGGAAGGACACTCAGAGTCAACCCGTCCTTACCAAAAGATAAAGCCAAGAAACAGGCGAGAAAGACTGGTTAGTACACGTACATGAATGCTTGCTATTTTTTTTAATCGGAAGAGTTTTTTGTTGACTCAATCCATTTACAATTTTTCATGTCTCCACTTCTCTGTCTTGACCTTTCTGAATACTCCAATGATACCATCTACAGACGATGGCACACAAAAGCTCTATGTGGGCAACCTGCCTTTCGAGTCAAGCCAAGAGGATATCAGCGAATTGTTTTCCAAATACGGCAAAGTGACCGATTGCTACCTACCCATGAATCCTGAAACTGGAGCGCCTCGTGGCTTTGCATTTGTCACCGTAGATAAGGAAGTGGCGCAACAAGCTATTGAAGAATTGAATGGGATCGAGTACAACGAGCGAACGCTAGTAGTCAGCGAACCCTTGCCACAGGGAGCCAAGAAGGCCAGGAACCGTAAGTGATGAAAGAACTTGGCTTGCTTGATCGAGTGTTCCTAGCTTTTTCTTGTGCTGATCTTTCATTCATGTATTTATTCATTGTCTGTTCCACTCTGTGTCTGTCTACATCATCGAATCACGCAGAGCGACAAAAGCTTTACATTGGAAACCTTTCCTTTTACACAGTGCCCGAGACTCTCGGAGACCTCTTTTCGGAGTTTGGTGAAGTATACGATTGTTACATGCCCGAAGACCCCGAACGAGGTGGATCTCGTGGCTTTGGATTCGTCACAATGGACAAGGAAGCAGCTGAAGCCGCAATTGATGCTACTGATGGTTGCGAATTGGATGGACGAATCATTCGTGTCAATGCTGCACAACCCAAGGGAAACTAACAAATTGACATTAGGAAGCTTGTGTTGTTAAGTAAAGTTACATCTGCAATAGCTACATCTGCAATAGCTACAAGCCTACATGTACATCTCCATTGCCAAGGGATTGAAGATTGAAGGGCAGAGTCCAACTTTGCATAAGATGTCCAGCGACAGCTTTGGGATGCAGGTAGATGAGGTAAAAACAATCAATATTTAACCCTACTGTACAAGGAGTTTCGTCCGAACTGAAAAGTGTTTTACAGCGGAAATAAGCTTTCAGGGAACATGTGTTTTACAGGGCAACCACGAACCAAATGAACCGATGGGTGCAAGCACTGTCGTTCAAGCAGATGCGGACCCATTCTCTCGTAGATTCTACGTAAATATTTCACATAATTCTTTTAAGAGTTAAACGGCTACTTTTTGCCTAAGTCTGATATTATCGGATACTTGGATTCGATTCGGATTCAGCCGAATTATTCGATTTCTTCGGTGGGAGCGGAGTTTCCGTAGTTTCGATCGAGTAACAATACACTCACCATGATGCACCTGCCGTCACCATCCACCGCTGCCACAGGCAGATTAACATGCTGCTACTGGACAGCTACTTGCCTTTATAGTTGTAGAAGGCCTTGAGGGGAGTGGTTTGCTGGGAGAGCTCATAGTCTTCCTCGAAACTATCATCATCTGCCTCCTCCTCGATGCGCTTGGACGCAAACCTCTTCTTGGGATGAGGAGTCCTCTTCGCTGGAGCGGCCTTCTTCTTGGGAGCCTCGATGACCTTGGGAGCGGGCTTGTGGAGATCGAACCTGTTGTTTCCATAGATGAGGATGGTGACAACAGTTTTCTTTTTGGTGAGCAACACAACGCAGTTGTTGGAAGATGTCACAACACGGAGAACACCATGATGAAGAGCCAGCTTTTTCGCCCACTCTTTAAACTCATTAGCCACCCAATAATACTTCCCGCCAATGGTGGAGACAAGAGTGCAGTCCTTGCCCATCATGATGGATCTGTTGACCTCATGGGTGAGCCACTTCTGAGCCTTCTCAGTGAGTGGCTTGATCTTGTTTTGGATGAGAGTCGACATGGAAGTGTGACTGTCCGGCATACCATCATCATAAAAGAGATGGAGCAACATTTCCTTGTTGTAGAACTCCACAGGGTAGTCTGGTTGTTCTTCATAGTCCGAGGAGTTCGACATGATGGCTTCAGCTGCTGCTCGATTGCAGGTTGTGAGACTGACTGGTGAGCCAAAGCAAAGAAGAGCTCCGGAGTATCTTCACACCAAATCCTTGGTTTGGCGCCAATCCGATGGCATTGGTCTGGCGCTCAATCCAATGCAATGGGATTTGGTTTGATTTGAATCGAATCGAAGCAACTCAAGTACTGGATAATCCACAGTACGAGCCGAGCCAACATGCTACAAGAAACTGCTGCTAAGCCCAAAAGCTCGGCCCACAAGTCGACCGTCAACAAGCCGACAAGCCACCATCGTCCAACCATGAACTCCTGGCAAGTTGTAGCAGCAGTCACGGCCTCTGATGATCAAAAGGATGCCACTGCAGAGTCGGTAGCAACTGTGCAGGTTATGGTTGATGGCTGCGAAAAGTGCACCCAATACTGTGGACCGGTCACTCTGCAAAGGTTTGGCAACACGTTGCTATTTCGTGTTGTAATCCTCAATGATAAGACCAACAGAAACATGATGGTTATCAACTTGCCCCCCGATGACGAATGGCGTGTGGAGTTACCCAAGAAGTTGATTAGCCCCAACACAAGGACAAAAGCTGTCAAGACCATCGTCAGGCTCCGCAGTGGCAATGCAGAAGGATACGACATGATGACAATCACAATGCCTTGGAATGGTAAAAAAGGCTCATCCATGGTGTTTGCCGAAGCGGTAATCTTTGCGTCCGGTGTGGTGAATGATGCTTGCATTGATCGCACGTAAATGACAACAACCGGAGCTTCTGCTCCGTCCGTACGAGCTGCTACCGGTATTGTCCCAACACGGCTGGCATTCTTCCTATCCCAACTATGATTATTTGATCCTGTGATTCTTTCCTCTAGTAATTATTTAGTCAAAGCAATAGAATCAATCTCTTGTATAATCATTTGGGTCTAGATAGATGGCCGCATTCCTTGGTGGAGTAGCTAGTTCCATGCATGGACTAGGGGCTACCGGTACGGTACGCACCGCTGATCCCATCCCTGACTAGAGCGGAAATAAAGACAGTCTGCTGTTTTATAATATTGTTAATCGATACTACATTTGATCTGCACTGTCTTCATTACGCAGCAATAAGGCTTAAACCGTGCCTTCCTTGGGGATAGGGTTTCAGTCAGAAATTTCAAACAGTGCACCGACGACTGCCGAAAGTCGATCGGAACCATTCAAACCATGGAGCAAAATATATTTATTCGACGATGACAATGATTGCCCCTTACCGCTACTCTTCCGTCTCTTCCGCTGCCACTTCTTCTTGCTCTGTAACTGGTTGGCATTGCAGTTGGTCGTGGTGGTCTTTGCGGTACAGCTTCAGCAGGGCTTGAAGCCGTGGATAGTCTTTGTCCAGAGGTAGCAATTCGGTGATCAATTTGAGGTAAATCAATCGCTTTTCCTTTTCCTTTTCGTGGTCAAGCTCTGATTTCTTCCTCTTACTGCCTCTCTTCCTCTTCGCTTCCATGGTCTCCTCTAGCTTCTGCTGCACTTCCTTCTTCTTGCCAGTGGCGGCATGTCGAAGAATATTGAGCGCTTTTTTGAAATCATCTCGATAGCACTTGAGCCGTGAGTCATCCCTCTTCCCTTGTTGGTGACACCTTTCCATCACCTCCTCCATGTGACTCTTCATCCCTCTGAGCCTCTCCAATGCCTCCTTAAGGTGTTGCCATGAGTGCACTTTCATTGGAATGGTTGGCATCAGTCGGAGCCACAAGGAAGTTGCCAAATCGATTGCTTTGTGCGCATTTTGAACATCCCCATCGGTCATGGACCCATACGGCTGGTAGCAGTAGTGTGCTATCACGTCCATGTATTGGAATAGCCTTTTGAAGCCTTCACAAAAGAGCTCCACTTCAGAAGCATTGGCTTTGAACTCTTTTCTCTCATCCTCCGACAAGCTGCTGAGGTGATCTAACAAAATCTTTTGAATGTCGTCCATAATTGGGACGGCATGACGGAGGAGCCGTCGGCATTCATTGCCCTCCATTGCTCCACCGTGGTAAGAAGAGATGTGCACATTGTATTCCTTGTCAAGTTTCCTCTGGATCACCATCCAGAGTGATTGACATGTTCGACCATATTCCTTTTTGTTTTTCTCTAACATTGAGAGTGCCTTCTTTTTCGCTGACAGTTTGGTGGTAGCCTTCTTGTTGGCAGCTTCCGCCTCTTCCAACCAAGCCCTTGCCAGATTGAGGTGTTCTTCATGACGGATATAATCTGCTTCGTGATCCTCATCTTCAAATTGGAGGTTTGGATTCCCAACAAGCTCTGTCATGACATTGTACATTTCATTAAAATGCTCCTCGGCGTCCAACAGATCCTTCCTTTTCTCTTCGGACTCCAGTTCAGCATCTGCTCTCGCAAATCTTGCTTCCAGCAGATTGACTGGAATATTTTCAAGCCGATACCAGACTATCTTCTGCAAGTAATCGTAGGGTGTGTTTGTCAGGAGAACAACAGAATGGAGAGGAGGTGGCAAATAATTCTTTGGCTGGACGCAATCAAAGAGCGGTAACGTCACGATCCCCTTCTGTTCTATTGGTTTACTCCTCTTCAGCTGTTTGCTCTCCAGTTTTCTGTATCTTGTTCTCATCAATTTGAGTGTCCACATTCTGCCTTTCTTTGTAGGGTCCTTCTGGAATTGACGCAACATTAGCTGGCACTTCCAACAGTGTTGGCCAGACATGTTTTCCTTGCCAAGAGCAAGGGCATAAAAGGCCAAGTCTCCAGTCACAAAGTCGATTGGAAGCGCTCCAGGATTCTCCGCGAGGCTTTTCAAGGAATCATTGACAGCTTTTGCAATTCCACTCGATATTAGAACCTCCCTGGTATCCTTCTTGCAGTTGATGGACCCAATCAGTTCATGGCACTCTCGACGGACTCTTTTGCCTGCAATGAAGAGTATCGATATGTGGACGCGAAATGCTCCTTGTCCATGATCGGCGGAAAGAATGACGTGCACACAATCATCTGCTAGCGTGGTCTCGGTCTTGATCTCATTCCTGATAACGTCCTCAGCTGATCGAACCCAACCGGTCTTATTTGACTTTTGTTCCCGAAACTGAAGCAAGGTAGGTTTGACGGCAACGTTTGCTTCCAACTTCCTCATTCTCCATTCTGGATTTAGAATGTTGCACCCGTCTTGCATGAAGAAAGCTCTCATCCCACGCACTTTCTCATACGTTAGATTGAGCTGCTGACACATTGCGATCTGTCTGTGAGGGTCCATCCTACGCAAAGGTATGTTTGAAGTTCGAACGGCATCTATAAACGCTTCAGGTTCGGTTTCGTTGTGCAGTCTTACGAGTGAAAAGCAGACGTCTCTCCTTCTCAGACTGTTACCATAGACCATGGCATTGTACAGCGTTGGAAGATATTTCTTTGCATTCTTCGTTAAAGAATGCATTGAATCTGCTGGAATCACAGGCACAAGGTGAAGACCAAGTCCTTTGCTGCCACCCCACTTCTGCAGTTGGAGTATGCTTGCCGTATGGGCTTGTTCATTTATCTGTAATGCTACATGAAGAAAGCTCTGGATAGAGGACTTCCGCAAAGGACAACAGAACCTATCCAGGAATGGCGCGAATTTGTCCTTATTCACCAGTTGGCTCAAATCGTCATCCTGGTTGTCGGCAAATGTCGCGTTTCTTCTATCATTCGCCTTCTTCTGTAGGCGAATGCCAATGATCTGTACCCTTGCTCTAAAGCTGTCAAGGTCAATGTCGAATTTAAGTAAGTTTGGATTATCCAGCAGTTGGTCTGGATCAATAATCGTTTCCAGCAAGTCTCTAACATCTCGATTGCTCTCGTGATTTATATCATTCTTGACAGTCCGTATGGGATCTGTTTCGGTTGGTGTTACTACTGCACTTTTCGTATTTGGTTGGCTGGTGTCAACAACCAGTTTGTTCGTCACAAAGCTCTTCCATCGGCAGTACTCATCCCATCGCTTTGCAAAGAACTCGTGTACCTCGCTTTGGTTTTTTTTCTTCAAGGTTTTCGGCCTTGGAGTCGTCGGTGGCTACACAAAGGAAGTTGACGCTCTTCCGTTTGCCACTTATCTTCATCTTCCGATCAGCTAAATCGATGTAAGTGATGCTGCCATATCTTATCTGGTCTTGGTGGCTTCTGAAGTCTCTACGGATTGCATTCCTGCTGACTAACACACCTTTCAGACTCTTCGCGGTAAGGTTTTCTCCATTGCCGAGATGCCGTGTTACTTTGTGGACCCAATATGTGAGTGGTATCCACTTTCCTCGAGTGCATTCACTTGTCGCCACGGCAACAAAAGATCTCTCTATCTCGTCGTCGGTTGACATGGTTGCCAGTGGAATCTACCGGACCGCCTCGGCGAGGGAGTGCTATGGGTATTGATGGAGCTAGCCTCTGCGTCGGTCCGCTACTTTCGGACCAGAAGATGGTCAACACCGTGGTGGCGTGAGAGGTATATATAAAAAGTACTAGTTTTAGGCAGACTACCTATCTGGTCCGGAGGACCTTTGTCAACGCTGGTACGAATCGAGCCCGAGGGCCCAAGCAACTGAGTCGTTTATGTGGGTGTTCGC